TAGAAGTACTAATATAATCCAGTAAAACTTGAGGTGAGAAGCATGTTCGTTCATCTCCTAGACAAAAAAAAGGTTCAAATTATTTGGGATTCGGTGTCAGTGTAATGGGATGCAACTATAGCCAACATGAGATTGATTCATGTTACGTGCCTGCCCCCATCCCGGATTGTAAATGGATAATAGCACACCGTCGCGGAAACCCGTGGAAAGGATTTGAAGGACAAAAGAAGGGAGGGATAGGAGAATAAACTGCTTATCGATATCACTATTATCAACGTATTCGTGATCGAAACTTGGTCGTTACAGTTGACGGTAAATTAAAACTAGGCGTTGGCGAAAAAGTCACACCGAATACAAAGAGGATGATACATGGCTGCATGGAATTCGAGCGCTCACGAGTAAGAAAAGCGACAGCAGGAAGTGTTTACCCATGGACCTCGTTAAACAGCCCAGCCTACTAGAAGTTTCCCATAGCTCAGAAGTAGAGCGTCCGAACTACTAATCGAAGGCCATAGGTTCGTTTCCTATTGGGAACACTCGAAGTTCTTTTTCCCTGAGTATCAGGCCTGTGTCATTCATTTAATACTGAACATCATTCTCTGCTAATGTTTTCTTTACCAAAAATGTATTTTTATCCGAAAAAGTTAAATTCAACCTGAGTAGTGTTCTTAGATTGAAACCCTTCACGCGTTCAGGAATTGTTAAACCGTTATTTATGTGAAAAAAGAATATGTTGATAAACCTGGTAAATACGAAAACATTCATGTCTGGGCATGTCAGGATATATATATGTTGCCCAAGACCTCGGTCACAGTTTTTCACCATAAGGACCGACCCTTAGCCGGTAAATAGCATATTTATTTTTTTAAAACTTAACGAGATTCTTTCCGAAAGAACCGAATGATTTAGGGCTGTAAATACGGCAAGATCTTCCATAAACTGAACAATTTTTGAGCGAGTAACTGGTTAAAATAGAGGTGATGCAAATTAAAGAGAGATGCCTCACCGAAACATTTTCGTTTCCGCAACGATAAAGGTGACTTAAAAGGCTTCTTAACAAACTTTGAAACATTATTTTTACAAGTATCTGTCACAATCTGACACCTGTCAATTAGAGAGCGCGTAAGAATAAAAAAAGCGCAAGAAGATTTGAAAAACAACGGAATCAGTTAGGCAAGGACTGTCATGACAATGTTTTCTTCAAAAACAGTCAATGATCTAACGGAAAGTATTATTTACTCTGATCGACGTTTCATTCATGTTCGAATATTTACCTCTGTTCATTAAGAAAACGGCGAGGAAAGTAATTGTGAGTAAATTCAAATTTTTAAATTTGAAGTTGTGAGAGTTTGCTCGTTTGTTTGCTGCAATGGCGTGTGTAGATCTGGTCTTTCATCCGCAAAAACTAAGTTCGAATGGCACACTCCAACGAGACACAAGGGGATTTAATGCAGCCTTTTCTCAATAAATTCCTTCAGTTTCTGTTGTGCAGTTTACGGTACAAATGTCCAAATTGAATGGACTTGGAAAGACTCACCGAGAGCGTATATTTGTTGTAGAACTGAAATTAAAACTTGTCTCGCTCTTTCACTACGAACAAATTGTTTGAGAAAATTCAGATATTAAATGAATGAAAGTTCCATCTTTCAGTTTACTGTAACCAAATACCTCACGTTTTAACTTTCTAGGTATTTTTGTGAACAATTAAAATTAATTGCAGACGGTTTATAAGCCGCTTGTCAACCAACGTAATAACGCTATGGCTTACACAAATTCATTCAGAAACCAATATTTTTCTGTCAACCAAAGTGACTTGAGAGAGAGAAAAGAGAGGATTCATTAGTTATTTATCGGCTTGAGGTAGTGGCCGACGTGTTTTCTTAAAAATACTTCCCAGACCAAAACGAGATATATTTATGAAAAATGGTAACGAAAGTTGGGATGTACTCGGCGACTCACGAAAGCGTTACCGTGGCCCGTGGGCAGAGATAGGAAAATACTGACCGGGTAAAGAACCAATCAGATTGCAGGATTTGTTACCGTGCCCTCCAAAAAAAAAATTAAGCTTTTTTTTAAATTTGCATCACCTCTATTTTAATTACCATTTACTCGCTCAAAAACTGTTCAGTTTATGGAAGATCTTGCCGTATTTCGTCAAGTTTTAAAAAAATAAATATGTTATTTACCGGCTAAGGTCGGTCCGTATGATGAAAAACTGTGACCTCGGTCTTGAAAATGCTGTATTTTCAAGACCTCGGTCACAGTTATTCACCATACGGACCTCCCAGCCGGTAGATAACATATATTTATTTATCTGTGTGCGTTGAAGAAATCCTGTTTTCGAAACAGGAGAAATTGTGTTATTTTGTCAATATCGTCATATTAAATCTCGATATTTGCAGCACCCAAAGATTTAATACAGAAGTCAAATATCCTTCTTTGGATGGAGGCTGGCATCATGTTTGCACTTCCTGGAATAGCATAGATGGACGAGGTGCAATTTTCATAGACAGTTCTCAAACGTCCTTCCTTGGCATTGGTTACGGGAAAAAGTTCACCGGTGGTGGAAAAGTTTTCACTGGAAATACTCATGTACCGGACCCGCCTCAACTGGAAGGGGAGATCACATACATGAATTTATGGGATAAAGTACTGTCGAATGCTAGCATCGAAAATCTTGCGCTCTCTTGTAGCGCTGAAGTTGGGAACGTTTTACAATGGAGTCTTTTCGCAGCCATGTCGGTAGGAAATGTGCAGGTCGTTCCCTTTTCTGCGTGCAGAGCAAAAAGGTATTAATTGTTCCAAAGAGCATTATCGTAGTCTTTTTATGTAACACTTATAAATACGCGCCACTAACGAATCAAATAATTAGACGTTCTTATCTTAGTTCTTTAATAAATCAGAAAACAATCTGCTCCGTTTTACTCTCTGTGGCTTAAAAGCATTCGTACTTAAGAACAGAACCACACAGACGCCTATCCATAGTAATCTTGTTTCTTCAATACATCTCACCCATGCGAAGTGCACTTTTCATTTTACCTCTTTTCTTAAAATCACAGTGAAAGCATTTAACTCCAGATTCACTTGACACCGAGGATCGCTTTCATTCAGATTCTAGGATTTCTGTTCAGGACTACCCTTACCACTAAGGCGGACAGTCTTAATAATGTGTTTCTCATTTCTTCTTTCTTCCTTTCTTCCATTTTTTAGTTAGCCGTTTTCTTTTTTGTTTCGTTTGAGGCTTTCTTCTACTGGAGAATTCGTGGATATCTTAAGAAGAAGCTAAAGAATATCATCTGATATTCATAACTGAAATTATTTCTTCCGCCATCTTCATTTTTCTGTCTGTTCTAGAGATGTATTACTGGAACTTTAACCAATCAAGTTCCTTGCAAAGCTTCGACGAGAACAAAAATCACCAGGCCGAGTTAACTGGAGCCAAGATATCGGCTGACCAAAAATATTTTGTGATCGAAGATCAAGGAAAGTTTCTGGCGGAAAATTTGACCTCAGAACTCAGTGGTGAAAATGGATTCACGGTGTCATTCTCAGCGAGGCAGACAGGTAGATTAAATCGGTGCCATTTCATGCCATGTCAAGTTGAATGTCACATTTGCATCCCGGAAAGAACTTCCAAATTATTTGAAAAATGTAAATGCTTGTAATCAGAGAGCATTCCTTTTAATCCTGATGAAATTGATCGAGGATACTTCTTATCGCCATTTGGCAACTAGTGACTAATGATAATGGCAAAAAATGTTTACAATAGAAATAAGAGACATAAAACAGACAACCATGTTAACGTGAGGAAAGTAAAGCCGAGTGAATTCGCGGAAAACATTCTTTTAATATGGAGTAAGAAACTGTGTTGCTGCATCAGTGAGAGGTGAATAATGCCAAGCTGAATTGGTGTTGATTTCCACCTAATTTTTGTAGCACATATAGGTGACACATGTTTTTAGACTTATAACAAAGCCATGTAAGGAAAAACATCAGCGAAACAAACCTTATCTTAAATTTCTTAGTACCCATAATGTTGAATTACATCAAACCTCCCCTTCAAACTTTGTATTTCTACCTTTCTCCAAGAAGTCAAACCTAGTTATCGGAGACATTTCTGCAACCTGGGGATATCTACTAACGCTAGCTTGGGCAAAATTCGAGTCTTTTTTTTTAATTTATTTATATGGTTGGAAGGGAACTTCCTTTAAAATCTTAATGTGTTTTCTCTCTGATCTCTTTCAGTTTTAGCCTCAAACATACTTAAGGATGACTTCAAATCTCTTGAGGTGCTCCGCAAAGCATTTCCTGATTTCATTCGTGATCATGCAACTTGGAAACGTTGTTACTACGCTAACCAGTCATCCTGGAGCACTAAAGAATTTCACACCGAGTGCGATTATAAGGGACCAACATTAACTATCGTACGTGTCCGAGAATATGTTTTTGGAGGCTTTGTTGACCAGAGTTGGGGAGGTAGGCATTCTTTAATAACATTAAAATCTTTTTGAGGGTCAGAACTCCGCAAGTTGTGCAGAAACTCAGTTTGGGTTGAACGCGCAAAGGCATTGTCGCGCAGCGCGTGTCGTTAATACAAACGAGGTCGTGTGTGCCGTGTTTTACAAAGCATTAGAATGGCGCACGCTGCCATATCTGAAGAGCGAAATCATTGCAAGACTAAAACTATTCTCTTGAATGAATAAACAAATTAATATAAACTGAATTAAACAAGAGCGTGTATGCACCCTTTAATTAGCATCTTCCATAAGAATCAAGTACTCTGGAAATAGTTTTATGATTGTTAAACGATTTATTGCCGACAGATTCTAAAGAATGTGTTTGAATAAAAATAACCATGATGGTAAAATGATGAATATGTAAAAAACATGACTAACTAATATACCAAAAAGGGACGAGATGAAAACGCTCGTGCTTCATCAAATTGTGTTTTCGTCTTGTTTTTAGGAAAACCAGCACACATTGGACGTCAGATAGAAGGATTCCTGTTCAGCCTGTCAAGCCCTTTTAACCTGGCCCCTCGAATCCTATCAATCCAACATGGAAACGCATCCGGAAAAACAGATCCACTGCTTGGTCCAAGTTTTGGAGAGAGGGAACTTGAGCTCTTTGGAGATAGTAATGGCCAAATCACGGGATACAGCAGTTTGGGGGCTTCTTTTGATCTGAGGAATGTTTCATTGTCTTCTTATGAGACTCGTTATTACTTAGCGGGCTCTCAGCATTTTTATCCAAACCAAGTGGAAGTTTTTTATTACCATGGTGAGTTAGTGCTGAAAAGGTATGGTAAAATAAGTTTTGTCGCTGAGGAAACTTGAGGAACACTCTGAGACCCCGTAGAATAAAAGTTCCGAAAAAAATTAACCGATTTAAACCTTTAAATTTGTTGGCTTTTATCTAATAGCCATTGAAGATGGATAAAGCAAAATATAAATGAGCTCGACTTTCTTTATGGATAGTCAATAATCAGGTAAAAACTCATGGGATTTTATGCGAGTTAGGCTGACTTGAGGCTAAGATAAGTCGCGGCAATATCAAACTTTCCGCTTTATTTGGTTCTATCTAACCAATTCGTTCATAAATCAAATGATACTCGAAAACTATTGCTGATGGCTCGTGACATGTGCTACGCAACTGCTGCTTACGAAAGTATATATTTCGTGAGGCGACTCGAGAAAAGCTTGAACAAAACATGAAGCGACCCATGGAGATTTGAAGCGATTTGAGATAAGCTAATGCATTACGTGTCCCTCTACTTTTAGTTCCTTCTACGCCATTAGGTCTAGAAAATCAAACATTACCCTACAACCACCTGGGGTGTTCAACCGGCCCTAATGAATGGTTGGAAGTGTTCTTAGGAAAACAATACACTTTGACGCACGTGGCTCTGCAATTGATTGGCGGAGGCGTGGACGTATCGGAATTGAAAATCCAGTATGAAAAGACTGAAAATGGAACCAAATGGACAAATTTTAGCAAGAAGATTGACGGAAAAGAAATTCCTAAGGTTTGCTTGTTGCTGTTGTTACAGGGTTTCCAAAAAAGATTGGTTATCTTTTACTGTTGACTATAAGGCCTCCTACTATTTGTCACAGAGACACAGGACACCGACGGTCCACCAATGGCCATAAAACCTCTTACTGCCGTCTGTTAAGCCTGCCCGCAGGCTCTCCTGTTTCGGTTTCGCCTAGAAAGCTCCCTTTTAGCCCCAACCGCCTACGCATTTCAATTTTTTGCTGTTTTTTCCATTTTTTTTTTCTGTTTTTGTTTTTTTGTCTTTCGTTTGAGATGGTTTCTCTCCCTTAGCTTGAATGTAATTACATGGGGAGCTTTGAAATTGTTACAGGATTGATTTAGTTTTACTTCACCGTTCTGTTATCTTCCAGGAAATTAAACTCAAACCAGCCTCTCAACCAATCAGGGTCAAATCTAAAACCGACTGAGTCACTAACATTTTCTAGCGCCCCGGGCGGTTCATTTGTATTTAATTCGACTTCTTTTTGGTTCGTTCTTACTTGTGTTTTGTTTGATTGGTTCTTCTTGCGTTCTTCCGATATCACCTTTGGCTTATGGGGCCGGTTATTTACCCGAGGTCTCGCCAAAACCATGGTTGTACGCAATCAGTGGGCCTCAATCTTTCTCTAAAAGAGATTTGATTTAATCAAATAAGTGCTCTTCCTCCGTTAGCTTTCAGCACTCTTAACACTGGTCACAAAAAGAAATGTTCAGATGAAAGATTCAACTAAATTGAGTATTTTTTAGGACGGGGTTTTGTTGAAAAACGACTAAACTTTGTGTAGATAATCAGACCATAATGGCTGAAAACATTTTGAAAACTTAACTTATCACCTCCTTAACTTTATCACCCATGCAATTTATTTTAAAGGTTCTTCGCTTCAATTTTCCATCAGTTGGGTTTGTGATAAAGGAAGCGTTCATTCCATCTTTCCAAGCCGTCAAGGTCCGATTCTATCTTACTGAAACGAGAGGACAGTGCATAAAAATGGAACTTTATTCCTACGATGCAGGTTCGTGTATTAGATAAAAAAAAAATGGAAAAAAAACTCTTGAGCCAATTTAACTTTTTTCCACAAATATGCACACTTTTATTCAATTTTCATGTTATCAATAATATTAACTTGGCCAGTAATTTTAAAAGACTGAGATAACTACATAGACCATCTGAGCTAACCGTCTGAACTTAAATTTGCAATTGCACTATCAATGAACAGGCCGAAAATTCCTCTCTTTAAGGTTGCTTTCAGTCAGGTTAAGAGTATAAGTCAATTCTCATTGTCTCGCCTTCTCTTTAAGGTTGCTCTCAGCCTCATGGAATTGAAAATCAGACGGTAGTTCCAGATGCACATCTAACAGCATCTTCAACCGAAGTTTCTGATAAATACAGGCAAGAATACTTTTGGCCAAACAAAGGTCGGCTAAACCACGATAAGGAAGGGGCACTCTCCTGGGGGCCTTACAAGCATCCAGTCCAACTGTTGGAGGGAATCTGGTTTCAGGTAGTCATCGTAGATAAGTATTCCTGAACAAATGCAGGCCAAATTCTGAAGTTGGTTTTTGCGATCTAGTCAGTCTCGGGCTGGTCTGTTGTGAAAGGAGGTAAGGAAAGGGAATTAGGAGGTTAGGGTGCATGGGGGGAAGTTTTATTTCGTTAGATAAACCTGAGAGCAATTCTTTCTTTCTCACGCGTCGCTGATTAGGAAGGTAAAATAAAATTTCCTTATTAACCTAAAAGCTTCGATTGGAAGTTTAAGGGTGCTGTGGTTTTGTCAGGATTTCAAGCATTTGAGCTGATTGTGATACGTTTATTTCTAAGGTCGATTTAAAGGAAAAACAGAAGTAACCTGTTTTGCAACCCAAGGAAGGCCGACATACATCCAATGGCCAACGAAATATGAAATTGCGTACAGTTCTGAAGGAAATGACTGGAAGTATTTTGAATACAACAATAGAGTCAAGGTAGCATTTCCGCTTTTCATATTTTTATTTTCCATCCGTTTTCCCGAGCAAGAAATGGGGAACGGAAGGGTCAGGTACCGTTCCTGTTAGCTTTTTTAGAATGATTCTTGAATCTTTTGGAAAAATGAGTTTATTTTTGAATAGCTAAGATCTTAAACTGCAAAAAGGTTTATTCCTAAATAACTCTAAGGGCGAAATTTCTACCTTAGGAATTTGATGCAAATTCAGATCAAAACATAGCAGCTACAAACTGGTTGGTTCCATCCATATATGGAAGATTTTTTCGAGTATATATCACTCAGTGCAATATGGACTGCAGATTGCGAATGGAACTGTATGGTAGAAGAGATTTGAGCAATAGTAAGTCCTCCATTGCAACTTTCAAGCTTCCTGTACATTCTTTACCAAATGTAGTGCTAAACGAAGAAACAAGGAAAAGCAAATTTTGATAATGTTCACTGATCAAGGTGGCCTTGTTACTTTTAACCTGGCTATTGTCATGGCGACGTATACTGGCGTGGATTATGTCTTTTTAATGTAGATTAAGTTAAACTTTTCCAGCACTGGTGTTTCCCATGAATGTTTGCGATTCAGATGAATGACGGTTATACCATAACGAATTGCATCAAAACCTTAGAAAAATCTCAACTTACCACTTACATCACAAATTCTTAAGCAGATAGCTGATACAAGTCATCAACTGTGTGATTCCTGCTTATGCCATCTTATAAATTCAAGATCTTTTTGAAAAGAATTAGATGTATCACAAAAATGTTAGGAAACTGGATAACAGAAATTGGTAATTTAATTGTAACTGACCCTCACTGGAATAGCAATGCTGTTGGTTGCTACCTATGAGTTATCGTATGTTCTTTTGCCACAATTTCCTTTTGAAGGCATCTACTGCTTTAAGAATGGCCTATGTTTCATCGTCCGACGTGGGCGATACCACATTTTCTTCGCCAAAGAAAACTATCGGTGGGAAATACGCCATCAATTGATTGTAAATCAATGGTTCGAAGCCACTGTTACCTGGAAACCTCAAGAGGGTCTAAAATTTTACGTCAACGGCAATCTGGTAGCATCACATAAGAATCCAATGCAACTGAGCGTTTCCCCTGGCCATGAACCGTTCAAGCTTCTCATAGCTTCAAAGGAGAATGGAGGTGGGTGGAGCAGAGCGACTTCCATCGATGGTGTCGCGGTTTGGGGAATGGCGATGAGCAAAGAGCAGATTAAACGCAAGTCTGAAGGTTTGTTTATAGTTTCCACAACCGCAAGCTTTCATTGAACCTATTCCTTCTTTTTCAAAACTCTTAGTTAGTGTTGGCAGTTTGTCAAAGAAAACTTAAAGTTTTCTTACAGACTGATATTCCATGGGTAGAAGGTCTCATACTACCTAGGAAGAGTATAGAGTGCTTTTGGATCGAGTTCCATAACAAGAAGTAGATAAAGTAAAAACATGCACACTGCTTCGAGCGAGAGAACGGAAATGAAAATATCATGATCGGCTTCAGTTTTTCTGCTAAAACCTACTAAACATGTTGAATTAAATAGCTGTCTACTTGCTGTTCAATCTACTCTTGATATCATCCTTCTAATGTTCCTAGTTCATTTCGACTTTGACGATAACTCTAGAGACTGGAAATCTTTACTAGATGGCACCAGTTCCTGGAAACTACACCAAGGATGCACTAAAACGTCGGGTATTGGGCCATGCGACGATGTTTCTAGAGGAGGTATCATGAACACTTGCTTGTTTCTTTGTCTTTGCTTGTTTATTGTTGCTGTTGTTGTCGTTTTTGTTTCAGATAATTTCCTGCTTTACCTGTTTACGTTTTTCCACTCCTCCACTAATACCGCGCTGTTTATGATTATGTTTCGTTTTACTAACTTGGAAAGGGCCATATTTTACAGTGTATTGAAGCATTGAATGGCTTGCGTTTGGAGGATTTTAAACTATGGCAAAAAAGCCTCCAAACGTAAGGATTTTCTATGCACAAATTTATCTTGAACCTCAGTTAACTTTATTTTGTTTCAAACGGTCAATACCAGGATAGTCAGGGAGGCAACGTCTTGACTGTTCAGGGAAACAAAATAAGGGCTC